CACACACACACACACACACACACACACACACACACACAGAGTTGAGTGGGCTCGTTTCGCCCTCTGGTGGTAGAAATACAGAACAGACGGTGAATCAGCTCCTGTCCATTTTCTTTATGCTTATCCTGCTTTTTTTGTGCTTATATTAGGAATTAACCGACATGCATTTTAATGTATGATGTTTTGAGGGACTCGTTGTTTCGTTTTTACAATTTTACTTGCCGCACATTGTTAAAATTATTGGTATAGTTCAATGTTATGGCAATACAAGATGTTTTAAGTTTGGGGTGGGAAAGGAATTGATTGATTGAATTTATTTCTTAAAACGTTTCAGAAATGGTGGTGGATGGAGGGGCTTACAGAAAAAAAAGCACATTCAACTGTTCGATCACTCTTAATGATGAAATCTTAATTTGAGAATGCAAGTACCTGTGTGGTTAGTCTATACTGCAGCTGCTCCAGAGCAGAAAGACGATCATGTTGTTCATTTGTGGCGGAATCTTTCTTTTGTTCAATTGCCTCTGTAAGGTACACGATATCAGATTGGCATTCAATTATGCTTGCTCAGCAGAAAAATTACATTTCTTATTGTACCCTCTAATCCAGTGCTGGTGATCCGGGCACGAAGACAGTTGCCCATCTGTATGAGCTGTTGCTTCTCTTTGCTCAGTCGGGCGATATAGGATGCCGCCTGCTTCAGCCTGGCGTGTGCCAGCGCAATGTTCCTTTTAACACCCTGAACGTTACCGGATGCAGCACCGGCCATCAGAGCGGAGGTCAGTTGCTGTTGCCACCGATAGAGGTTCTCATCTTGGAATTGTTGCACCACTGCATGTCCGGATCCTCCTTGCTCCGCATGTGGCCCTCTCGCCGCTTGGCTCCTCATAGCGGTGGACTCAGCGCGCTGGTCCAGACACAAAACTTGAGGATCCGAAACAAAATAGAAATATTTTAAAATCGAAGCTAGTATTTGCTTTAAAAAAAAATGCCAATTTCCATTTTAAACTCCTAAACCTGTACCTTTCTGTGGCATTTTCAAGAAGAGGTTTCCACATTGTTTCCCAACTATTTTTTTTTTTTTTTACATTTATCTGCCAAAGGTATCTTACAACAGCGTGACCCAAAATAACGTTTGACCTTCAAGTTTTGGTTTGAAAACTACCTTCCTGGGATCTCTGGTCATGTGGGTGAGGTTTGCCCATACATGTTTGGGCCGGGGTCTCTTTAAGTGTCCCTGCGGCTGGAACTGACTTCGGCAGCCCCGAAGCACCTTCTAACTGCTCCTCGAGGTGTCTGCATCGAGCGTTAAGCAGGACCACCTCCTGCTTCAGAGCCTGAGCGTCGTCTAAAAAAAAAAAAGGAACGAAAAGGTCAGCGTTGTTTGCCAGAATCCATTGTGTGATTAATGTTTACATTGTTGGCTTGCACCTTTTGGGTGACATTTTCAAATCATCAATTATGTTTCCGTGAAAGAGACCTGACAAATATGCCGGGATGGTGTTGGCAGAGGTGTCCGGATGCTTGGCAAGAGGTTCAGTTGTGGGGGGAGCCGCAGTGGCTTCGGAGGCTTGAACTGCCTTGGCGGGGAAGGCTTGAAGCTTGTTCTGTTGATGTGGTACAAGATGACCAAGATCCTCCATATCCTTTCTCATCTGGGACACTACAGCTCGCAAAAAACTGTTCTGCTCAACCAGGGAATTCATCTCCGATGCCTGCGCATCTGGTTTTGGTGTGAGACCCTGTTGGCATGTAATATAGTATATTCAGTCCACTGATGGGCCGGCAACACTTAACACTCAAAAGACATTATCTGAGATATTTGGAGTAACATTATTCATGCTTAAACTCTCCAGGTGTATTATTTCAACCGGCCTGAGGGGTTTACACCGCAATAGAAGTTAATATCCAAACATTTATTGGACTTTGCTAATGTCACACAAAGGTACCCGCTCGTGGTACCATTCGAGAATGATGTCATGGTTTTCATTGCAGCCACTGAGCCTTTCAGTGTTATTTGATAAGGTGTCGTTTTCCCCGTGGTGCGAACAGTTTATGGCAGCTGCCAGTTTGGGGAGGCAAGGAGTCAAGCTTGAAAGGCCATTAGACCGTAACCTCACAAGGTGCCTGCTCAAAGAAAAGGCCATTGCCAAAAATTGTACTCAGCGCAAGAACTGAAGGACGTCAGCTGCCAACAAAATAGAATATCCAACGTGGCGTGTAGAATGAGTGTGCAGCTTTTAGGAGATTACATATCTTCTTGCTCAAGAAAGCGCTCCCAAAAAATACTGTGCTTAAAATTCCGTAAATGGGCTTCGAAGTTCAAAACGTCACAACGAAAAAAAGAAAAAAAAAGTTTTGTTTTGGGGTTTTTTCGGAAAAGGTCCATGCCTACTTACCTGTGCTGCTTTGTCACTTCCCTTTTTAACAGACGGAAGCAAAAGAGTCAAGTCATGCAACTCTTTTTCTTTCTCACTAAGCTCTGCCTTTGCCTGATGAAGATAAAAAAATAAATAAATAAAAAGAAATATCAGATAAGCATCATAGCTTGGACAAAATACTTTGCTTGATTTGAAATTATTAAAATAGATGTGGATGGTCAACCAAGACCTGGAGAGTACATAAGAAGAAATGAGAGGTGATGCTTAGATCACAATACAAAACAAGCCATATATTGTACTGGTAATGCTATTTTTGAATCTGATTTTATTATTTTATTTTTTAAAAATTTTTTTTACAGTATACGTAATGTGTACTGTGCGCATGTGAAACTTACAAATTTTTTTTCCCCTCAAAATGATTTTCAAAGACAGGCAGCTAATGCACACATGCACACTATGGCTTGTTGTGTGACGTGATCAAAATGTAATCTCTCACCATTTATTGCTGGACACAGCAGAAGAATATACACATTTTGTTTCAGGTCTTTGATGATAAAAGACTGACCTGGTCTCTGGCGAGGGTCAAATCTTGTATTAGCTGCTCATTAGCCAGGTAGTGTTTCGCCTTGACAGCATCATAACGCTCTTGCCACTCCAACTCCAACTGGACTCGGGCCTGTTCTAAGGCTGCCTCTCTTTTTAAACCAGCGTTCACATCTTGCTTGTACCTGACAAAACACAACTGGTCATTCCAATATGAGAGCCACACAGTTCTCAAAAGTTTTCTAACCTGTTAATCTCCTCCCTGCTCCTCTCCAACTCAGCTTGGAGTTTGCTAATACGGTTCTGTAAGGTTATCAACTCTGTATTTTTGCCGACCATCTCATTAGAAGTCTGACTCATGCACCGCTCCCAGTCAGTCTGGGCTGTAGTCACTTCAGTGCGAAGCCTGTGGAACACACACACACACACACACACACACACACACACACACACACACACACACACACACACACACACACACCAATGCAGACAGTGTTTCAATGGTTGCC